ATTCTTTATACTATGCTGCAATATTCACCACTTGGCTAATTAGGTCAGAAAGGCCTGGAGTATCCCCAGTAGGTAAAATATGTTTTGGTCTTTACCAGAATTGGAGAATTGTCCCAAATTTTGTTAGTAAATCTCTTTTTGGTTAGGGAGTAGGGTCCCATGGAACAATTAAAAATTCATGGTTGACCATCTGATCTTCAAATTGACATGTCAGGGAAAGTGTAAAGAAGTTCCAACTAGGGGTCCCCTCAACCCAATTATGACTATTGATCTACAGGAGGGCTTTCCAGAGATGGAAGCTAAAACACAGTAATTGAATTTTCTTACCCATGACATCCAGGGTCATCCAGGTTCCCTCACAAGAGATGTAGATGTCCATGGACAGAGGCATTGCAGATTGCCCAGGTCTCATCAGTTCTCTTTATCAGAGTGGGAAATAAGGGTTTTGGCTGGCCTAGCCTCTCTCTGAAAGTGGGGAAAATCAATCCTCAGGCACATCAGCCACCTGACACAGTGTAGGGCCCAGGTGATGAGTTTGTACAGTCACATGCCCAGTGTTCAGTTTCCTTGAATTTAAGGCTGGAACTGTTTCCTTGATTAACCCTGAGATTTCCCATGTATGATTTGGGTGTAAAGCATTGCCACTTGAGACAGCCACAATTTTGTCTGTTTTCTTTTCTGGGCCATTCTTCTTTCATCCTTATCTAGATGTTGACTGTTGAACACAAAAAAGGCCATGCCAGAATTTGGGCCATAGGGGTCTAGAGGCCCATCTGCAATTCTACCAGGATCTTCTGAAAACTGGCCTAACTGTTCTTTGCATTGCTGGGTATCTCTCACTGGAAAAGGACTCAAGTAATCCCCTCTACTCTTGGCACTTCTCTTAGGTGCAATATGAGCCGTGAGTCAGAAAAGTAAGAAACTCCATTCTGAGTGTGATGTTCTGAGGGGCTTAACGCTGTCTGAGCAGCATGAGCAGGGTGCTCGGAAATACTGGGTCTCTCTGGTGAGCTAGTCTCTGATGGAGTTCCTGTATCACTTCAAGAGGACGAGACTGATTTACTGGTCTGAGGATTATAAGGAGGAGGTCAAGAAGACCACCTAGTGCAGTTGTTTTCATTAAACAGGTGGGAGAGACCCACATCTCTCTGAGAGACAGGTGGACATCTCAGGACAGGATCATCAACAACATCAATTTCTTCTTCCTTGGAGACCTCTTTAAGTTCTATGGTTCTTGGGCCTTTCCAGAGATAAAAAACGTAAAAGCCTGAACATAAGAGATTTCACACTACTTTCTTTTCCTTTTTTAAAAAAGATCAAACTGAAGAATAGTACTGTAGATTGCCATTCTGTACCCATCTCTCACCATCTCCTAGTTCATACTAGGATCAAACAGTATTGCAATAGAAGATAAGTTTTTAATGACAAGGGTAGGGTGTCACAGTTCACAACCATGGCATGGCACAAAGGATGAAAGATTACTCAGAGTCAATGTCCAATTCATACTCCAACAGGGCCCAGAGGAGCTGCCATTAACTGAGACCCTCAGTGTGAGAGAGTCTGATAAGGACAGGCCTAAACTGAAGCCTCTGTGGCTTCAGGAAATAAGGATAACAGAAAAGTGAAAGGCATCTGGGCAGGAACTCATGTAGGGGACAGGGGAAGAACAGGGAAGGTCAGGATGGTCTGTTGAATAATCTGACCTTGGGGCCAATCTAAATGATATGGGGAGGACAAATGCCAGAGCATTCATTCCTTAAGGCAACATATTTGATCATACTTGGACTTGTGGCCCTGTAGGCTATCTTTTAATTTCTAACCATACATTCTAGGAGGTTTTGGGTGTGCAGCTCCAAAAGTTCCTTACTTCTGCATATTGATCTCATAGATACCTCTGGCAAAAGTTCCCACAGTGGAGTCCCCAGAACTCTAAATAGCTACCTGCATGAGGCAGAAGGCCAGGAGAGAGACAGAGAGAGAGAGAGAGAGAGAGAGAGAGAGAGAGAGAGAGAGAGAGAGAGA